AAAAAACAAAATAACACAATTTTAAATTAGTAAAATTATTGTATAACCTACATAATTTGTACAAACAACAACAAATGAGACAAATTGTAGCCACTGCTTGAGACACCCAAATGTAATTATAAACAATACTAATTTTGTTTCTTTGTTATACATTAAGAAACTCGTCAACTGAGTAATATGGTCTTTCTGAGAGATAGATTTTTGTCACCTTACGAAACTTAATGAAGGATGTTGCGGATTTAATTTCTCTTGGAAGGTGATTATAAAGTTTCTTTGCACGATATAGAATAGAATTCTTTACTAGCTGAGTGGACGGGATCGGCAAATAAACGTTACAATCCGAATTTCTAATGGAGTAGCCATGGTCAGGTCTATCGGGAAAAATGTTTAGATGCTTTCGAATCAAACAAACCGTTTCCAAAATAAATAAAGAGGGAAGCGTCAAAATTCCGTGATTTTTGAAGTAAGTCTTGCAATGAGTTGTTTGTTTGAGACCAAATAGATAACGGATTGCTCTTTTTTGCAACTTAAAAATAGTATCAAATTGGGCCGCTGTACTAGAACCCCAAAATGGAAGCCCATATCGAAGATGGGACTCGAACAATGAGAAATATGCCATTTTGGCAGAAGATAAATTTAGTTCCTTCGAAACAGATCTTATTGCAAAGCAAGCTGAGGCTAGTTTCTTCCTTAAGGAGTCAGTATGCAAGGACCATTTGAGATCACTGTCAATGAGAATACCTAGAAATTTCACGGAATTTACGATATTGATTTGGCTCTCATTCAAAAGCAAGGGTTGCATGACTCCTTTATAAGATAATGCTACAGTCTTATCCACGTTAAAGCTAAGTAAGTTGGAGTCTGACCAAGCCTTGATTATAAGTAAATCATCGGTTATAATTGAATGAAGCGTTGAAATATCAGAGCTGTTCCATGTAATACTGGTATCATCAGCAAATAGAAAAATTTTCCCTTTAATTTTCAAGTAAGTGATGTCATTAATGAAAAGTAAAAAAAGAATGGGACCTAATACTGAACCTTGCGGTACTCCACACTCAATATCTTTACAACTAGAGTCGGTGTCATTTATTCTAACCAATTGTTTCCTACCTACCAAGTAAGTTTTGAACCAGTTCAAAGACACACCCCGAATTCCATAGAAAGTTAATTTTTTTAATAGAATGTCGTGATTTACGCAGTCAAAGGCTTTGGAATAGTCGCAGAAAACGGTGGCGGAGGAGAGGTTACTGTTTAGTGATAGATATACATCATGTAACACAGAAAATATGGCATCACTAGTGCATTTATTAGACAAAAAGCCGAACTGATTTTGCGATAAAATATTATATTTAAGGAGAAAGGGCATAAGTCGAACTTTTATAAGTCTTTCAATAATTTTTGATAGTGCTGGTAACAAGGCAATAGGTCTATAGTTGCAGGCATCAGATTTTTCTCCACCTTTATGAAGAGGAATGACGATGGCAGTCTTTAGGCAGTTAGGGAATGTACCTTTTTCAAGGGAATCATTTACTAGCGAGACCATGACGTCCAAAACATTATGCGGTAGATTTGAGAAAATTTTAATAGATAATCCATCTGTACTACAGGACGATGTGCTTTTTATACTACGAATTGTTGAAATGAGTTCCGTCTTATCAACTGGTCTTAAAAAGAAGGTATCAGCAATGTTTTTTGAATTAGAGAGATAGGAAACTGGATCTTGATGTGGCGAAATAGTTGAGGTTATATTTTTACTCACATTAACAAAGTAATCATTTAGATTTTCGGGGTTAGGAAAAGAAAAGGTTTGATCCGCTGTACTGGTTTTATTTCGAAAATCGTTTATTATTGACCAAGTTTCTTTTGAAATATTTTTGGAGCTTGTTAAGCGATTATGAAAGTAGGATTTTTTGGCTACTTTGAGTAGTTTTATATAGCATTTTCTGTACTTGTTGATATAATCAGAGATGGGGATACTGTCATTAAATTTTTTAATATATAGCAGAGACCGCATATTTTTCGCAGATATGCGAATGCCTTTGGTAATCCAAGGTTTATTATGTTTTGGCCTGATGTTTAATAGAGGAAATGCTTTATTAAAAATAGATACAAGTCTATTTAGAAAATCACTAACATTACAGTCAATGTCTCCAGAAGAAAAACTCCAGTCAGAAGTCAAGCATGAATTATAGAATTTACGAAAGTTTTGAGTGGAAAAAATCCTACCTAATCGTCGGGTTTTTGAGTGAGGTGTTTGTAAACTGCTAAACTTGGTATATACCGTTTCATGATCAGAAAGCCCCCCACTAATAACTGTAGAATGGACGTCAGCGGGTGGAAAATCGGAAACCACATAATCAATTGTCGAGGATGATGTTTTTGAGATTCTTGTTGGAGAATTAACGTGCATTGTGAGACCATATGATTCAAAAATAGTTACCAAAGACAGTTGGGTCGCACAAACAGCAGCGTAGTCAATATTAAAATCACCACATAAAATTTTTCTGCTTTTAATGGGCAGAATATCTAACAAATTTAGCAGGCTCTGAAAAAATAGTTCAGTATCAGAGCTAGGTGATATATAAATGCAAATAATGTATAGATTAAATTTCTTATTAAAAATTGGGCCATATGTGACTAATATAATTGTTATTTCTGAATTATCTAGTGTTATCTCTATCTTTAAATTTCTTTGTGATATACATTTCCAATTTTTAACATATGACATATAGCTTGCTCTCATTAGGCATCCTACACCTTCTGCCGCTCTACTATCGTTACTGACTCCGCTGTACAAAAATACATGTTCTTTATCCAATTCATCCATTCCTTGACCCTTCTTTTTAGTTTCCGTGATCGCCAAAAAATCTAATTGTGCTTTGTCAAATTCATCTATTAATTCTCTTTCTTTTCCATTAAGGCTTCTGACGTTCCACGTAGCCATTTTTATGTACGTTTGTAGTCTATTTGCACCTTGATCTTGTGTTATATTTTCTTTTTTGTCCAATTCAATTATATCGTACAAGACAGAAATACCAATCCTTAAAATGATTTTTTGGTTCCCCCCATACCATTGGAACCAAACTTTAAACATTTTCGTTGTCTGTTCATCCACTGTCGCAAGTTTTCAAGACAAATTTTGCACACTATATGTGGAACCAGGATTGATCTTGATCTCCTAAATGAACACCATAATAGGCTTGATAAGCCCTCTTTATAAAATGACAAACTGTTTTTCTACTTTTCTACAATTTACTCGCCACATATATAGTAAAAACGTTTGGGTTATTTCCACAACAACGCCTGCTTGTAGACGCGATGGTTTTCAGTTATCAAAAAAAAAACACTCTTTGCAAGGAAACTCAAGCTTAAACTAAATTTTACAATGAAATGTAGTAAATGGAGCCTGGTTATTAGGACCGTGCAAGTTCGGAAGAGCGACACCTGGTGTCGTAAATTAGCTAAATTTACTGCGCTTTGATGTTAGATCGAGGTTACCGGATAACTGTCAAGAACGTAGCCCTAAAAAAGAATAAGAAAAAAAAGTAAGATTGAGGTTATGTCGGTATGTTATTAAAAGGTAAAAGTTGTATGTAGTGTAAATACAAATAAATATATTATTAAATTACAGCATTACTGTTAATATGGATGCAATAATATAAACTGGATTTGAGAAAGTAAATCACCAAATAACTTTTCAACAATTTTTTGTTGTATTTTTACAATTAATAACACAACATTTACTAAATCCCATTTTCTTTAGTGACAGAAGGTGTAAATAAACAAACAAACGAATATAAAATATGACAATTTGCCAATTGACAATGGAAAATATCGAACTTAGTAGTGAAGTTCGTTTCGGTTCGTAAATGCCCCTTTGTCCGCTTCTCGTCGATCGATGATGATAGGGTTAATAAATGTTGAAGTTGTGGAGTAAAAGTGATGATTGACAGCAACTCGTAATTACACAATATGGTGTTCGTTCGGTAACTACTCAATATTGACTGTGTTCATTTGAACTCAAATCCCCCAATTTATAATCTCACACATAATAGATACATAAGCACCTTGGGTCATTGGTTCGTTCATATCACACCACCTAACTTTTGCTTATAATACAATTTAATCTACGCCTTAATCGCGACAATTAGGAAGTTCAATTAGAAAATATTATTATTCGGCCATTTATTTAGTTATAGGTAAATGAACTAATTATTAAATTATCATACGATATGGTTTTGCAATATATATAATGCAAACTTATACACGGTGAAACTATAAAAGAGTAAGAAGTTAAGAATAATGTGAGATTACAAATTAAGGGGTTAATTTGTGATTGAACAGACAATATGAATTTATGGAATCTATGAAATGTACAGTAAAAAATGCAAGATTTTTCCGCTACTCGCGCACGATCGTTTCTCGTATCACATCTAAGTACTTGCACGTCGCCAATAGGCCATTTCAGAGAAAATACGGGCATTTCCAATAAATACACTTTAACTAGAAGTCATTAGTACGGATTTGTCTTAAAATTTGTTATGTTTGTTTATAAACATATTGCAATTATACATGTGAAATATACAGAAATGTAAGACTATTTAAGTACTTGATGATTATATTATATCTCGAAAACTAGAAAAGAAAAGGTTTGTATTTTTGGAATCAGCACAGACGAATTAACCAAAATCAGTTGATTTATTTTTTCTGTATCAAGACAATTTTTTTGTTGGGCTGTTAATCAGTTATATAGATTACATCAAGCAATTTTTGCTTACTTAGGATTATCTATCTAGTAAATCAATTATATTTTACTCTGTTCGTGTTGTTCATGGTGGTCATGGGATGAACTACAGGAAGGATTTTAAAGACTAATGATCAAACGAAAAGTCATCTTTATGCGACACAAGTGATTTTAGATGTTATCTGAATATATTTTTCAACATTTTCTGTATCTTTTTAACGTGGATATCTTTTAATATATTTTTATTTATTTCCAGGAAAAAGACTGAAGTAAGGAATGACATAGACAAAGAACCTAAAGACTTAACAAATAGGAATATGTTTCCCAGTGCCCAAATCAAAATGAGGTAAGTGATAAATGTGGAATAAATTAAATTAACTGGTCCCAGACTAAAATGATCAATGTTTTGGACAATTTAGGTCTAAATGTTTATTGAGGCAAATTTTTAATCTAGAATTGTGTAATGGGGATGAAACATAAGGTTTATTAGGACTAAACTACATTTATTATTGATCAAATTACATTTGAATTTGTAGTTACCGATTTTTAACAATAAGATTTCAATATTTTTGATGATTTTGATGATACATCACAATTCAAAAAACATTAAAAAACTGATAATATCTACTAACTTCAAATTTGGTTTCTTTATAGGCTTATGTCACCAAGTACATCACCTGCCACATCTCCGACAATGTCAAACTCTTCATCACCAACCCCACCCGCTGTAAGCTACAATAAAATTACGGGAATACCTTGCGTAGCTGCTGCTTCTAGATATACAGCCCCTGTTCATATAGACGTCGGCGGTACCATCTATACCTCCTCACTGGAAACACTTACCAAGTAAGAAAATACTTTTTTTTTCAAACGTCAAATAATACTTATCTAACTTGATCCTGTGAAAGTTTGATGTCTCCGCCGGCAGCAGTTTTTTTCCCATTTCTTTACGGCGGAGGGAAAAATGTTGTCATGGCAACAATATGAAACATGTCACAAAACAACAATACAAATGTCATTAACAACAATTAAACATCATTTTTATTTATAGTAATATTAAAAGTACAATTAGTTAATGAGGCATTTTCAAAATTGAAACCGTGCAAAAATGTTCCCGACTCTTGATACGCATTGGTAATTGTTGATGATACTGATGGTCGAGAACAACTTTCAGCAATCATTTCCGATGTTGGCGAATCATGAGGGTTTAAAATTTTATGAGCATTATCGTTCTTATTTCTTATTAAATCCTCTATATATCCTTCGGCAACCGTGCTTGATTTCCAGCCCCCATGTCGTTTGAGGCATTCTAGATTTCCGCCTCCATCAATTAAAGGTGTTGCTGAAGTTCGTCGTAAAAAGTGACTCGTGTATGCACTTGCATCGTTTAAATTTAAATAACTAGCTACTTTTTGGGCTACTGCGCTAGAGTATGACCACCAGGTATAAAGGTTGAAGCAGAATAGAATACAATAGTTTTGAGGGTTACTAATCCCTAAATATAGTTGCTAGTGTCTGAGTGATGGAGATTAACAGGTACTAATAAATTTGCAAGAAATGTAAGATGTTTATTTTATTGGTTATATATAAAATATACATATTCAAATCGCGAGACGTACACCGGAAAACAAAACTCCGGGTATATAAAACAATAATCCGACCCATAGTAAGTTATGGGTGCATACCAATGCATTAGACGTGTTCGAAAGAAAAATATTGCGTAGAATACTGGGCCCAATAAAGGAAAATAACAACTGGCGAATTAGATATAATAACGAAATATACGAACAATACACTGAACCAACACTAGCACAATACACTAGACTGCAGAGATTACGATGGGCAGGGCATGTGGCCCGCATGCATGAGAACAGAATCCCCAGAAAATTACTAAACGCAAGAATGCAAGGAAAAAGACCTGTTGGAAGACCAAAAAAGAGATGGGAAGACGAGGTAGATGAGGATGCCAAAAATCTCCTAAAAACACGTTCATGGAAAAGAACAGCAGTAAATAGAGATGTTTGGAGAGGTCTAATGAAGGAGGCCAAGGCCCGGCTTGGGCTGTAGTGCCATTGGATGGATGGATATATAAAATAATTTGTTGCCATAACAGGGGCCGATTTGTAAAAAATGAATGTTATTTTAATCAAATTCCGTTTCAGATTCACTGCTTTCTTCAGAATCTAAGGAATCTTTAACTCCAATGCTAATTATTACCGGTTCCAGCATTACATCAGTCATATTATCCAAATTCCACATTTTATTTTTTTCCTTGTGAGCATGACTAACAGCATTTTTCCAATTTTCTGGAGTTACTTTTGATAAGGAATGTTCTAATAATTGTTGTAAGTCTTCTAATTTAAAAGTTTTGTTGTTGCGTCCGACTTCACCCTTTACTTGAGACCATATATTTTCTATCGGATTCAGATCACAGTGGTATGGGGGTAAACGTAAAATAATTACATCACGGTTTAATACTATTTCATCTATTATATATTTTTTATAAGCTGCTTTATGTTGCCTTACAATAGGTAATAATTCCTTTTTTGTCGAATTCTCCTTGTACTCAATTGAGTGTTTATCCAACCATTCGATTATCTTTCCTTTTTTTCATGCCGTTGTTGGCAATTTTTCTGCTAATCTTGAATGGTAACTAGCATTATCCATGACTATGACAGAATTTTTTGGAATTAAATCCAACATTTGCTCAAAATATTCTTCAAAAACGTCAGCAGACATTTCCTCGTGGTAATCTTTGGTTGATTTTGAGGCAAAACTTAATAATCCACCATTGACAAAACCGTATTCGTTTTCAATATGGGTTCTTATGAGTCTGCGTCCTTTTCCAACGGGAATATTGTTTATTCCAGTAGATACACCTTCGATGAATGCCTGACGGGAACTTTTCACATTTGTATTAACCCATAGATATGGTACAAGTATGACCTTCATTTAGCCAAGTCTCGTCCAAATAAAAAATTGTTTTCCCTTCTTCTCGGTACTTTTTAATAGTTCTTAGATAATCTCGTCTCCAACATATAATGTAATATTTTTCAATTAAAACGGATTTTCTTCTATTCTTTTGCCAACGAAATCCCATCTCTCTCAATAGTTCCCATAATTTCTTGTTGCTTATGATTGGTATCTCTTCGTTTTCTCTAATTAATGTTTGGATTTTGTCCAATGTTGGAAATTCTTTGTTAAAAAAATGAGTGGACGCTGCGTCTTATCATGTTTTTATGTATTTCTTCCATTTCCACGGGTTTACTCCCTCCACTCTTCTTGGGAGATGAAACAGTTCCTCCTTTTCTTTCTTTTAGGAGTCTATAAATTGTTGCTTATCCAACCCCTGTCATATTTGAACACATGTTAACGATTTCACGAACATTACTTAAAGGGCGTTGATGTACAAGTGTATCGTGTACATTTAATATTATATTTTTCTCTCTTAGACTGAGGGCACCTTTAAAACTACACTTAACCGGGATAAAACCTGTTGTCGACGTCATTTTTAAATGCAAATAACAAAATATTCACACCAAAAACGTAGGTAGGTAAGACATGAACAATGTACATCTACAAACTTAATGAAAGATGCAAACAATTTCTAATTTATATTATTGGCATAGGCTGTAATGTGGCATAAAAACTACTCAAACTATCATTAGTGAAGCCTTATCAGTAATTCCAGGTAATCGTTCAAAGAAGGTATTCTTTTTGTGTCAGGCGATAACTTGTATAGAAAACAATAATCACCTTTAAATTACTGTTTACATTAATTTATTTAGTGAAACATTGAATTCTCTCGTTTATCACCCGTGTATAACTAACAATAATCGTGTGGCATATATAACGACCTTTTTTATGCACAAAAAAGGTATAGTGAGATTAGTGGACACTTATTTTACAGAAGATTTTTTAAAAGATAATGAATTGTTGACGGCATCTTAAAATATTATTTTTTTTTACTTATTTCAAAACAAGTATAGGGTGACGCCTATAGTTTTTTGACCTGTTGAGGATTTGCATAGATAACGTGCTATCAATATGATGAAAAAGGACTATACAAAACAACTATTCCTGTTTGGCTGTCATTATTGATTTCTTTCGGCAATATTCGGTAAATTAATATCTTTGATATAGAGGCAAAGAGAATAATGATGATGATGCCAAAAAAGATATAGAAATTAAAGTTCAGTTCTTGTTTTAATTTTGTTTAAACAAATTGAAATCATCAAATAAAGATTTTACTATTATTCGACTAGTGGACAACAGAGCGATATGTGGAACCCCGTTACGCAAATCTAGATACCTTTGAATACAAATGAACGTCGAACATTTGCCGGCACGGAATGCTTGATAAAACTAGTATTAAATAACTGCGGGCCGGCTAAACGCTAGATTATTGTTATTATCAGAGATAATTGTTTCATAAATTACTGTAAATCGGTACGAATGATGACGTACGAATACCCAGAGTCAAAAGTTCTTCGTTATTTCAGTCAATTAGAGAATTAAAAGCCCTCCAACTCTCCGAACGGTTTTTTTCTCGGAATAATCGTACCTTAAGGGTAAACGTATTAATGCTTGATATATATGTGTATGGTTTATGTACTGTTTTATTGTCAGTATGATATTAAATTTTATTATTATTTTTTTTTAATTTACAAGGTTGTATTTTGCTTTTGGTGGTTTTTGAATGTCGACATTATAAACGATGTTCAAGAATAATTACATATCTGCGGAGTTTTTTTTTCCAGTCCTCATTTTAAACAATAATTTTGATTATACCTTACTCGTATATAAATTATTACAAATTATTGTCCGATTCAAAATTGCCGAAAATACGAAGTTGAGTTGAAAATTGGTGTCAAAATTTAAGTTTAAGAACGAATTGGGTTCGAATACCTGTTTAACTTCCTTGATCCAGGAGTGTAATAGTCAATAATCTTTTTTTGTACTATGGTAGTAAGGGTTATTACAATTCTCACTTATTTGAGAAACCCCATAGGTCACAAAACTAAAACTTTCGGAAAACAAGAAAAAACTGTGTGAGGAAAACACAAAAATTCACAATATTTTTTGAAGAAAATATTGAGAATAAGTTCTATATAACCTTAAACTGGTAAGATGCATTGGTAAGATGCATTGGTTAAATGCCTTCCTTTTAAGATGAAAAGGAAGAATGCATCTTACCAGTCTTGACCTACGGAGCAGAGACCTTAACTTTAACAAAAGCTACTGCCGAAAAACTGAGGATAACACAAAGGCGAATGGAGAGATTAATGCTGGGCCTGACCTTGAAAGATCGCGTAAAAAATGAGGAGATACGCCGACGAACTGGCGTAGACGATATTATACTGCGAATCCATAAACAAAAGTGGAGGTGGACTGGACATGTTGCTAGAATGGAAGACGGAAGATGGACGAAGAGATTATTGGAGTGGAGACAAAGAGCCGACAAGCGAAGTCGAGGCAGACCACCCACCCGATGGACCGACGACCTAAGGAGAATAGAAACAAACTGGATTGCAGCAGCTAGAGATAGAGAGAACTGGAGATGTTTGGAGGAGGCCTATATCCAACAATGGATGTGAAAATTCGGCTGGATGATGATGATGAACCTCAAACTTGATTGACTTACGGGTTTACTCCTATAATTTATATTAAAAGTACAAAAAATATTACAACTCAACAGACTAACTATTCGTGGTCTGTGGGTATATTATTGGTCATTGTGGATTAGTTGAACAATTCATTATAAGAATGCTGGATATTTTCTATATCCGGTATAAAACTTTGTAGTTGTGTGCTACAACCAAGTTTGAGTTCTCGTAGGAGTCGTGAAAGTGTATGAATTGTCCTTTTTTTTTTGTTGACCCTTCTGATTCCTTGGAATATTTTTGCCACTGGATTCCGCGGATAACATGGTTTTTTTGTAGTAGTCTGGCCACCAACTTTTATAATCAATTACGTCTTCAGCATTGAAAAATACCACATTCTTTTTACATGAAGTTTTTATCAACGCAAAATCTATATAACAGGGTAGGAAGGAATGACCCCTAATGCACGCCATACACACTACGGTCTACCGGAGAGGTCTACCTGTGCAGGCATGCCTGCGCAGGTAGACCAGAACGTGTGTGAGAATAGACCTGTGCAGTTTTTTGAACCTACACAGGCGACCGGAGCAAAATCAAAAATCAATTTTTTCGAGTGACACCGTACGATGTACCTGTGCGTGTACTCCGGCCGCCTGCGCAGGTCGCGTCAATTTTTTCTAGTTTTTCTCTGGGAAGGTCGTCTTGTCGTTCGCACCGTATTGTCACACCACTCTTTAATTAACCCTAGAAAATGGTGCCACAGTTTCAACTAAAAAAACGCTTAAAGAATTTATCGAAATTTATAGAATTCATCCATGTCTTTGGGAAATCAAAAACAAAGATTACCATAATCGAGATAAATAAGCGCTTTTCCAATGAAATAATTTCTGAGAATTTTAAATCCTCATAACTTCTTCCAGTTGCAAGAAATCTTAACGTAAAATAAGTGATAATCTTTCATGTGCAGAAATACTATTTTCTCATAAGTGTGTCCCTCTTTTTTTTTCATAGGAGTAACCATTTCAAGTAATTTAATGTTTTCTCGTCCAGATTGATTTTTAAAATCTTCTGGTTCAAATTTGAATTCATTCAATAAGTTGACAGAACTTTATTCTTTCTTTTCAACAACCAATGCTTACACCACTTTTTCGCTTATTTTTCACTGTTTTTTTCTTTTGTATTCAAAATTAATACAAGATCTAACAATGCCAACGCATCATCGTCTTCAATCGATGTCATCGTTAAAAGAACTGAAGACCGCACCGGTACACCGGAGAATCCCCCCACACGCTACCGCTGTTTCGTTGACTTCTACATCTACAGGCATACCTGCACAGGTAGACCTCTCCGGTAGACCGTAGTGTGTATGGCGTGCAAATTTTCAACTCAAATGAAGTTGTTTAAGAAATGGCTGAGTCCAACTAGGAAATTAGGGTTATTTCTACAGATTTTATGCAGAACCAAAAACTGCCACACATTCCGCTGCTTGAGGTTTTTGTGTTAAGGTTTTTTCCACTTTGATTTCGCTCAAAAAAATTAAGACCATTGACCATTATTTTTCTATGCTTTCTAGCTCGATGTAGATGAATCATTTTCTCGGCGGCTGCAACTCTCTTTGCATTATCGTTCAAATGCGTACTATTTATTTTCATTACAAGCTCCTCACACAACAACACAACATGTGTATATATGAGGTCTTCCAAATGATAATTCAAAATCTTCTTTAAAAACTTTTCTGTAGTAACAATATTTAACAGTGGCACATTTTGGATATTTTTATGTAAACATTTTGTACATAAGAGTAATATCTAGTTTCTTATTTAAATAATACTTTTCCTTGCTAGAATAGTGAGCTAACTTTGTGGGATATGATTTATTATGTTCACGAATAGGATCTGTAATAATATCAGAAATTGCATTGCCTAGTGTACTTTTACCTCGATTGTGGAATGGTAATCTTTCTGCACTTAGAAGAAATACACAAGCCGCCTCACTCAATCAATTGTTACTATGTGAAGAAAACAGAAGGCTAATTTACAAACAGTAATTTTTTTATGGGGTTGATAGGGGTTGAAAGTTGGGGTTTATGTGGAGCATACACAGCTACTATTTCTATTAGGTTTTAGAGACTCACCTAGTTCTTTTCTTCTACGTTATTGCTTAACTTCAGTTGCGGAAACTAGGCTTTGAAAGCAACAATCTTGCTCATTTTTTGTAGTCAGTTCTCTAAATTGTTTGAAGATCTACATTTTTCGTCGCTACTCATCAATGAAAAGCACTTTTTTCTGCACCTTTCTTTTGGTGAATGGAGAAGAAACTGCAGGAACATTCTTCCCCTTAAAATTGATGTATTCATTTCCTTTGACTTTAGCTCGTTTTATCATTTCAGTTCTATATTCGTAGGGTTCTTTATTTTTTTTTGATTAGGTAAATTAATACCGTTATGATTACTGAGTCTTTCACTCATTTTGTAACGAAAATTTTTCTTACCTCAGGGTAAGAACATGGGGGCAGAAGATTGGGCAAATAAAATAATCGAAACTGGTGCGTACGACACTCAGGGGGTTGTTGGAGAGCTGTTCGTGGATAAGTTGAAATAAATGGGTCGGATTGGGGTATCTACAAAATAAAAACAAAGTGATACTTACATAAATCTCCTGGAACAATTATGAAACAAGATATGGCAGACAAGGTTACCTCTAGCTATTTTTATTCGGACGCCGCTTCGAAGAAAACTTCCAGCTTGAGGAAAGAAAATTCTTCTTCCCTAAAATCAAGAATACATACAATGGTTAGGAGACTTTTCTAAATTAAAACAAAAAATGAATGAGAGAAACAAATCAAACGTTTATTTTTGTCTCAAACAAACAGTTATCAAAAATACAGATTGCACAAGCAGCATACTAAATAACATAATAACAAAATTAACAAAAACTTACGTACTTAACTGTTTACAAAGGAGATTGCTACAAAAAATTTCGAAATGGTTCCTAGGTTATTTATTAATATGGCCAAATTAGATTATTACAAATTAAGGATATCCTTGTTAATGAAAACATCATAAAATTTAACCTTATATATAAATTTTTTTTTACATAATAATCAAATTAAAATTGTTTTACAAAAACAGATTTAAGCTAAAATGTCATATGTCAACATGACATTTTAAGACAGAATAAATTATGACATTTTTTTGGCCACGCCTCTAACGTAATATAAAATTTTAAATATTACAAATTCTTTTAATTTTTAATAAAAGCAATTATTAAAAATGTCTATATAAATTGGAAAAATTAATATATTAAATGTTACCTTAATTTACAAACTTTGCCACTTAACTTTGTAAAACTTGCTACTATCTCTGGGATTGGAGCTGCAAGGACGAAACTCTCAACTGAAACAAAAGGAAACCATTTCCATACTCAGGAACGAAGATCTGACGTAGATGGGGTTGGATCAAGCAGCAAACGACAACAAAGCTGGTGGGACATCCTACATAATCATTTTTAAAATTTCATCAGTTTCGGTGTACTGCACAAATCTTATGGTTGATACTCTGTTCTAAACTGCTATTATTGTAAAAGAGTATTATAACCTTAACCGGACTTAAGACATACCACAAAAAAATGAATCGACTCTTGATTCAAAATCGCTCAAACATCTTTCTAGTCTCAAATCTCTTGCTTGACTCCCTTAACTAAACGCAATTCAAATACTTTTTACGTCTCGGAAAAAGTTGCGCCTACAAACCTAAATAAACAATAATACCCCTCCTGACCTCGTTCTAACAACGAAATGACAAAAAAACATCTTGAAATATTTACTTTTAAATTGAGTAACTGGAAATTTTTTACCTCACAATGTAACAGAGACAAAACATCAGATACATCAATAAGCGATTAGCTAAATGACCATACATTAAATAATCTTCTTCTTCTTTTTATATAGACATGGCTCTTTGTTTTTCAATCTCCCTTCAGTAAGTTGTCGTTTCATCGTTTTCGTGGTCTTCCTACTGATCATACCTATTTGTTGTTATTCGGCTTATATGATCGTTCCATTCTACTCCTTTATTTCTTACCCAGTTTTTGATGTTCTCTACTTTGTATCTACGTCGTATATCTATACTTCTAGCTCTGTCCCATAGTGTCTTACCATCAATTTTTATCTCTGCTATTTCTAAAATCCTTTTTTGCCTCTCTGTGCGAGTTCTTGTTTCTGCCGCGTATATCATTATTGGTCTGATGACTGTTTTGTGAATTTTGCCGTTCGTTTCTTTCCCGATATTTTTATTTCTCCATATTGTTTCATTCACGCAGCCTGCGGCTCTGTTTGCCCTATTCACTTGATCTTCATCTTCAGTTTCGAGCTTTTCGTAGCTAGATAATGTGATGCCTAGATATTTCAACTCTATCACTTGTTCTATTATCTGACCTTCTAGCTTCAATTTACATCTTAGTAAATTTGCTGTTGTAACCATGCATTTTGTCTTTTTTGGGGAAATTAACATGTAAAATAATGTGTTATATAATAAATAATATGTTATATCTGCTATATAAAAATTTATTACCAATAATATTTTAACCCTTAATAAGACAACGGGAACGAATTTCCCACTTTATTTTACCGCCAAATTTCAATTGTCGCTGTCAATGTACAGAATGTTGAATGTTGTGATAGTAAGTATTCATTTCATGGATAAATTCACCAACTACTCTAACAGTTACTAGACGGATCTGATGTTTAGTTGACAATCGACAAGTAGATGTTTATAGGTTTTGATATTTCTTGCCCCCAAAAGTTGTTTTTTATTGCAATTTCGCAAATTATTTGGTGAATCTGCTCCAAAAATTCTGGTAAGTCTAAAGTAACTTTGGCCAGGTTCAAAAAGTTAGTAGAAAATATCCATCTAAATGATAATTTAGATACTGCATAGAGAGGCTCACCTAACTTTGACATATTGTATAAGATAAGACCATTTATAGATAGACTAAATGAAATTTTCAAAGAACAAGCTAATCCTCTGGCAAGAAACAATGCCAGATGAATGGAAAGAAGGGGTTATTGTACCAATACACATAAAAGGAAACAAAAAGCAATGTATTAACTACAGGGGAATAACACTCCTAAACACCACCTACAAAATCCTTGCAAACATCCTGCTAGAAAGAACCAAAACATATACAGAAGTCGTTGGAGATTATCAACGCGGATTTAGACCGGGCCGCTCGACTACCAACCAGATATTTACAATAAAACAGATAATGGAAAAATGCTGGGAGTTTGATGGTGAGCTTCATCAGATGTTCATAGATTTTAAACAAGCATTTGATACAATATGCAGGGACAGACTGTGGACAGCGATGCAGAAACTTGGTTTTCCAAAAAAACTAGTCAGGTTGATACGGATGTGTATGAAACGGTTACTATGTAAGGTGAGAATATTCGGAGACATTTTAAAATAAAAAATGGACTAAAACAGGGAGATGCACTTTCACCACAACTCTTCAACTTAGCTCTGGAACACATCATCAGAAGTGCAAGAATCGAAAAACCTAATACAGTATTTCATCGAGAAGGACCAAACTTACTACTGGCATTTGCAGACGATATCGATCTAATAGGAAACATACGATTAAGGATAAAGAAGACTTTCGTGAGGTTCGAAAAGGAAGCAGAGAAGATGGGGCTCCAAACCAACGAAAACAAGACGAAATATATGTATATGAGCCGTAATAACCAAAGCAGAGACAGAATCGGTCAGAACATCACCATCGATGACTTTAACTTTAAGCGCGTTAAAGAATTCAAGTATCTTGGAACAACAATAAATGAAGACAATAACGGATCACAAGAAATAAACAACATGATTTAGGCCGGCAACAGATGTCTTTTTGCACTCCAAAACCTTATAAAATCAAAACAACTAACACGACGTACAAAGATATAGTTCTATAAAACAATCATACGACCCGTTGTGATGTATGGAAGCGAAACGTGGACAATAACAATGGCAAACGAAGAGAGACTGTGTGTTTGGGAAAGAAAAATCCTAAGGAAGATCATTGGTCCTGTGCTGGATGAAGCATCATGACAATATAGGATAAGAACTAACAAAGAGCTCGAAGAACTTTACCCAGACGCCAACATCATAAAAGAAATAAAGTCCAGAAGACTCCAATGGGCAGGATACCTCAGAAGATATTCTGACGAACAAACAGTAAGGCTGGTGTGGGAGGAAGTCCCAACTGGAAGGAGACGCCCTTGACTCCGGTGGCGAGATAATGTAGCAGGAGACCTAAGCACTATGGGCGTGGAGAATTGGATGGAGGTTGCTCAAGACAGAAAACAGTGGAGACATGTTGTAGAGTCGGCTAAAACCCACGAAGGGTTGTAACGCCACGGAGTAAGTAAGTAAGTAAGCTAATCCTGGAAGTAGATTTTCTATTGATGAATGTATGGTGAAATTTAAAGGATGTAGTTCTATCAAACAGTATATATGCCTAAGAAGCCAATTACGCGTGGTTATAAAATTTGGGCAAAGTGTGATGCTCTTACTGGGTATCTGTACCAGTTTATTATCTACACTGGAAAAACTGAAGGCAGTGAAAATGATGGTTTGGGACATAAGGTTGTAACTGAAATATGCCAAGATATACCACACAAATCTTTGGTTATTTTTGATAACTTTTTTACGCGTTGCAAACTGTTGGAAGATTTATACACTAAACAGCTGTATGCTATAGGTTCTGTCAGACCTAATCGCAAAGATTTACCTGATTTTATGAGGAAAATGAAAAACTTCGAAAGATTGAGCAGCGGCCATATAACAGCAATAAAGTGGTTAGATACCAAAGAAGTCACGTATTACAACTGCCAATCAACCACATGAAGTAACCATGATGAAACGTACACAAAGAGATGGCACAAAGAAAAATATAATGTGCCCAAAAGTTATTATACATTAATCATGGGAGGTGTTGATCATTTTGACCACTTTAGGGCATCATATCCCATAAGTAGGAAGTCTAGAAAATCGTGGATGAGATTGTTCTTTTTTCTTTTAGATGCAAGTATGATTAATGCATAATACTAGAATTCATGATCCAAAAAATACTTCCCACAAGGATTTTAGGCTTCGTCTTGGAAGAGCTCTCATAGGTGACTTTACAGTAAGGTCATCCCGACCTGTGATATTTAAAAATAAAAAAACGGGAAACTTTGGTGTTCCAGACGAAATTCGACTGAGAAATGTAGGACCACATTTACCAGATGTTTAACAAAATTATACAAGATGCAGATTTTGCTCAACAAAAAAAGAAGAAAAACGAACTAACATTATATGTAGTTATTGCCAAGTAGCTTTATGCCCAAAAATATGTTTTAAATCATTTCACACAGCTGTGGTTGAGACTTAAATTAGTTTTGTCATCCATATATGCATTTTTGTACCTTTTAATTAAATAAATTGTTTCAATAATTGTACAAGGGTAATGCATTTCCCACCTACAAAAATTCTTTAAGGAACAACGGGAAAATAGTTCCCACCACTTTTTTTTCTTACTCTTTAAAATTATTTTTTATTTCAACAAACATATGTTTTATGTTTTTATTACAAGAAATACAATAGACAAAAACTAAAAGGAGAAGAATTTAAACATCACTTTGAACAGACAATGAACGAACAAATTCGAGACAACATCAAACAAGTATACAATGTACCAACAGTCGAAGAAAGATATGATAACATAAGGAATATCATCGATACAGCAACGCAAAGTAGAACTGTCACCCATTAAGCGTGGATAAAAGATGAAATAATCGAAATGGTGGACGAAAGAAGACAGCTTAAAAATAGAAATAACTCAGAGTATAAACGAAAGCATAATCTGATTCGAAGAAAAATCAGGGAAGCCAAAGAGTTATGGATGCGAGAAAAATGTGAGGAACTAGAAGAATTGCAACGAAAACATGACGAATTTAACGCACATAAGAAAATAAAAGAAGGTACAGTACACAAAAGAAATACACCAATAACATTAACGAATAATGAAGGTCATGCACTATTCCTAGAAGACAAAGTAATGGAGGAATGGGAAAACTACATTAAAGCATTATTTAAGAATGATCGAGGATCACTACCTAACTTACGTGCAAATACAGGACCATCAATCTTAAAAGCTGAAGTGGAAAAAGCCATACACCAAGCCAAAAACAACAAAGCCAGTGGACCAGATCAAATATACAGCGAATGGCTAAAATTACTCTCAAATGACAATATAAAAGAACTCACTGTACTTTTCAATCAAATATATGATACCAGTGAAATTCCATCGGACTGGTTAAAATCGATCTTTATTCCTCTACCTAAGAAACCAAACGTTAAGAAATGTAGCGATTGTAGACTCATTAGTTTAGTGAGCCATGCCGTTAAAATACTGTTGCATATTCTTCTAAACCGAATTAACAACAAGTGCGAAGAAATAATTAGTCAAGAGCAGTTCGGGTTCCGGAGATGCCTTGGAACTAGAGAAGCACTATTTTCCATGCAAACACTCCTTCAACGATGTTGGGAGGTAAGAAAACCCGTATATATGTGCTTCATTGATTTTGAACAGGCATTTGATCGCGTTCAGCATACCATACTAATTACCGCCTTGTAGAGCATCCAACTAGATCAGAAAGACATCAAAGTTATTGCCAAACTTTACTGGAACCAAACAGCCATTATTAATACCAACAACAGAGAATCAAAACCAATCAGTATTGAACGAGGCGGAAGACAAGGCTGTATACTATCTCCCACCCTCTTTAACGTGCATTCTGAGAATCTATTTAGGGAAGCGTTAAAAGATCAAAAAGGAATTATCATACGAGGAGAAATAATTAACAATATACGGTACGCCGACGATACTGTGATTCTAGCTGAAAACATCGACGATCTGCGGGAGCTAATCAATAGAGTTGACATAGGATACACAAATTGGGGACTGTCGATAAATATCGATAAAACTAAAAACATGGTGACCAGTAAAGTGGATATCGGCGCAACTCAACTGATATTAAACCAACAACCGCTGCAGAGAGTTCAGAGATTCAAATACCTTGGATGTTGGATTACCCAAAATCTAGATCTATCCTTCGAAATTCGATGTAGAATTGAACAGGCAAAAAACTAATTTCAAAAATTCAAGCCTCTATTATCCAATAACTCATTAAATTTGGAAATCCGTGAAAAGTTTACAAGATGTTACGTGTGGTCTGTACTTTTGTATGGATGTGAAACTTGGACTTTAAACGCCGATATCATGAATAAAATCGAGGCGTTTAAGATGCGGTTGTATCGAAGGATACTAAAAATTTCATGGACTAGCAGAACCAGAAACGAAGAAGTTCTTCGAAGAATGGGACATCAACGAACTCTATTAAATATTATTAAGAGGCTTAAGCTAGAATATCTTGGACATATAATCAGAGGACCAAGATATGAGCTCCTTCGGCTAATTCTCAACGGTAAAATCAAAGGAAAGAAATGGATAGGACGGAAGAAACTCTCTTGGTTGAGGAATTTGCGGCAGTGGACAGGTTTGACAGCGGACCAATTGCTACACGTAGCGCAAGACCGAGATCAGTATAACAATATTATAAACATGGTAGTCACCGACGTTCCGTAGGGATATGGCACAAGAAGAAGATGTTTTATTTACCACCTTTAGATACCAAAAGTATATAAACAAACAAATTAATTCTCCTTATATCCCATGTCTTATTAAGGGTTTAATATATTGTTAAATCCTGTAAACTTAAAAATATATCTATATATTTTGGGCCGTGTATTTTTATTTGTTTTATGATTGAATAAGTATCGTAAGTTGATTTTTGTACATTAAAATATACAAAAAAGCTTTACCAAGGGGAATAGTATTTAAATTGGTATCAAAGATGAATAGGATTTCATTTATATACCTCTATACCACATTTTTTATGTAAATCCGGGCCTGGTCCCAAGATCACCTCCTCAAGCGATACCATCGAGTAGAATTTCCATATTGAGGCTCGCGATGCCGCGTGGGATGCTGATGATTCGTAACAAACAAATGTCACAGCTGCAGGCTATTCTATAGGGTGTTCCAAAGATACTGCCACATCATGCAGCACTAATAACCACAAAGTTATGGTAAATTATAGACGATTTGTCCTCGATACATTCGTGGGATGGTACCTATTTATGGTGAAGCGGTGTAGGCTTGGGGAACCCAAGATTTTTGTACGGCGGGAAATGCCATAGGCGCTGGCTGGTGTCATCTCTTCTTAAGGGTGCGTCGAGAAATGTGAACAGACTTTACGAAAAAAAATATATATATTCTATTGTGATATTTAGTAACATCAATATTAAGATGAAATATGCAAATTTTATAAAAGGTTTTGAAATTGATCGATGTTAATCTATAATGAGTTTATAATCTGTAAATTTTGTAAATATAAATATACGTATATACAGGGTGGTCATTAAGTAATTTTACAAAAAGAAACCGTAGATTCTAAACTTTAAAATATTACGATCTAAACCAAGTTAAAGTGGAAATTTAAAATTTTAATTTTATTTAGTATATTGCAAGCTTTTAACCATATATATCCACCTAATAAGCAGGTTGTCATATGCACAGACTCTTTAGCATCAATCCATTCTATCAAAAATATATTTACCGATCATCCAATCGTCCAAAAGATCCTAGACTCTTACCAAATTATCTTGTCCCAAAACATAACAGTTACCATAATTTGGCTGCCATCTCACATTGGTATAGAAGGCAATGAAACTGCAGATCACTATGCTAAACTTGCTACAGCATCACCTGAAATCGCAGATAAAATTCAAATTTGTAAGGACCTAAAATCATATACTAAAAGAAGAACCAGACTCCTTTGGTAACCGTTCGATCTTACACGAAATACAACCGTCAATAATCAGTCAGCTTACATTTGACTATTCAGCCCTGTCAAGACGAGATCTCATTGTGATAAGACGACTATGGATAGGACATTCAAAACTCACACACGGCTAAATAATGTCCTCTAACATCCGTCCCTCCTGTCAAAGCTGCCAATCATATTTGACAATCAAACATATCCTCACTGAATGCCATCAATATTCGGCCACAGAATAATAAACAAACAGAATGCCCACTCTCCACGGAAAATTAAGTACGCGCATCTCCTTCGCGCAGACGTTCCGCCATGTTTTACGAGGATTTTAAAGGGAACCAGTGTTGTTTATGTGGTGTGCATGGAAAAAAAACCAGGTTTATTTGACTTACGGCAATCATAGACATACTATACAATTATATTAACAGTTTTAAATATAATAACATAAATATAATATAATTAAACATAAATGTAAACAATGACGTATAATATATAGACTACGCAGTCCCCTATTCTTCTCGCTATAGAATCGAGTGTCCGAAAGATCTCGGCTCAAGGTTGAAGGTATGTTTATCACAACAGCGACGTGCTCATTTATATGTTAATGACAATATATATTTTTTTAATTAAAATTAAATATTTATGATTTCTATTTGTTCCCGTCTATAAGAGAAATAATTATTTTGATAAAATAGTATGGCATTTTACTAAAATAGTAAGTAAATAACTTCAACAATTTAAAATAAAATTTGCTTGTCACACACAATGGAGAAAATGTTTTCGTACGTCCATGATGTTTTCAAACACAAGATCAACTTCGTGATGCTTCGTAAGAAATCATGAACTTCGTGCATCTTCGTATCAAAACAATAAACAATAACAAAGGTATTCATGTTTTGGACACTTTTTAAAGCGTTCACCGAGTCTATATATTATACGTCATTGAATGTAAACAATTGCATAACCTCACAAATCATATGTTTGTGTCCTCTTAAAACATGGCGCGCTTGCTGAAAAACTTCAAAGGCGGCATCTGAGAGTGGCCCTTCTGCTGTGATTCGCCCAGAAGATTACAATACAAACTCAAAAGTGAAGTACGAGATATCCTAAACGACCCTGACCAAATAAAAGCTGTGCTACGTTTCCTTAGAGATGAATACTTATATCAAAAAATATAATTAGATTTTAAGTTAGACATTGTGTAACATATTACATATTATCATTCCGTATTATTGTAAAATATTCTTAATGTAACACTTATTGTTTGTGTAATGAAAACTCATGTTATAGTACCTGTGTAAGTGGCCATAGTAGCCGAGCACGTTAACGTCGAAATAAAAAAAAATTCGCTATAACTTTCATGTTTGTAAACATTTATGTATCAAAATTCATAACTGGGTACTATTAAATATAAGGAATTATAATTTGATGTATACTTTAACATATTTGATGGAGGGTGCCACATATGTGGTATACATTTGCACTTAACTTTTTTGCTCTTTAAGTTACCGGTGTTTCTGATAAAAAATATTAAAGATACATTATTTTAACAAAAAAAAAGGTATACTTATTAATTCAACTTAAAAATTCAACAGTTTTCGAAATCAACTACATAATTCTGATATAAAGCAATTACTCCAGACAACGAAACAAAATTAGACAAAAACATCAATACTTCTGAATTTTGGTATAAATTGCATTTAATAAAGTTAATAGTTACCGAAATATTAAATAAAATAAATATATCAGCAGGATAGTTATTAGTAGGATTTTATACCAAACATTTTACGTTTTGTATTAAATTAAAGTCATAATCAAAATATTTTATTATTATTAAACTGTTTGTCAAAGTAAGTTCTTTAATTCATTTTTC